AACAATGTTGCAAATCGATCCTCCCGAAACTTCCACAATGTTGCAAATCCAACAATGTTGCAAATCAATTCTCCCGAAACTTCCACAATGTTGCGTTTCAAATTCTGGCCATATCTTACTCCTGGTATCAGGAGAACATGATATGTGAAGAGGTGGCACGAGGAGTTTAAGGTACGTATCAAATTCAGGTCCAGTTTTTACTCCTGGTATCAGGAGAACATGATATGCGAGGAGGTGGCACGAGGAATTTAAGGTACGTATCAAATTTTGGCTAAATTTTACTCCTGGTATCAGGAGAACATGATATGCGAGGAGGTGGCACGAGGAATTTAAGGTACGTATCAAATTCTGGTTAAATTTTACTCCTGGTATCAGGAGAACATGATGTTCGAAGAGGTGGCACGAGGAATTTATGGTACGTATTAAATTCTGGCTGGATTTTTACTCCTGGTATCAGGAGAACATGGTGTGCGAAGAGGTAGCACGTTTTGCGCCTACGAGCAGACAACCGGTTCGACAAACCGATAAATGTAGGTTGCCACATGAAGGGGCACTTGTGCGCCTACTTGATGGCAACCGAATTAACAGGACTGCTATCTAGGTTGCCGCGTAGCAGGGGCACTTCTGCGCCCACGAGATGGCAACCGTACCGACAAGCTGTTAGTACAGGTTGTCAAATACAAGGGGCACATCAATTCAATTCAATTATCGTTATTACATCATATAAATTTACATTTTGGTCCGATTTTGCTTGTACAATTTACAAGTCTTACACATATGTGTTTACGATTCACCAGTCTTACACTTACGTTAAGTTAAGATTTTATATTTGGTATCCTTCCAGACTCTTCATCACATCCTCCTTTCATATCAATTACCTACTGGTGTCTTTCGGAGTTATACCTGAACGAACTACATATTTCCATCTAATCCGTCGATCCCATATCCTACATGTATATCATTATATTTTCGTGTATTTCATTATTCTCACTTCATTTATTTCATTCACGTACAATAATTCGTTCTATTTGATCAATTCATTGCACGTATATTATTAATTTCGTTTTCTAATATAGGAAAAGGTAGCCAGGAAAAGGTCGACGTCCGACAATCGGGCGACGAAGCCTCGATGGCGATACGGGTTCAAGGAGTCAGATGCTAAGGGGTAGCGCACTGCAGAAGGAGGACGGAGGAGGACTCCGTAATTAACTGCTGCGTCGAGAGCGGCGGGATAGTCCCGTTTGAGTCCCTGGGAATCCCCAGGGACCTGACCCGTCGTATCAGACGCCAAACACTCCACTCCCACACCGCCGAGTCTCGGCGTCGGCCAACCTCGAAGCCGCCGCGTTCAAGTTTCGCTACGATAATTGCCTTCGCTTCACAGTCGCGCCCCCGACACCCGCAGCATTGGATAAAAGACCTCCCCCGCCGCCCTCTCCACTCTCGTTCCAAGCGAACCTGGGGTTGGAACCGAAGAGGGGATGGTACCACCGCGGTTGAAACTCGATAATGGGTTTCAGCCTCTGAATTTACGCGATTCGGATCTCCCCGTCACGGAAACTCCCGGATACTCCTTTCAACGTGCCTGCCTGTTTTCGAGAACATTGCCCCATTTCAATTTGGACGACAATGACTAAACGTTTCACCCATCGAGCGAAAAACGCTTCAGGCCAGCGATCATGGTTATGGAAAAGTTTGAAATTGGTGAACCCTTTGGTCCACGTAACAAAGGAAACTGAAGATTATTCGAAGAACGCTCTTCCAAGAGTAAACTATGAAAAAATAAGTGAAACTTTATTTTAAAGAAGAAATCTTTCATTCGACTCTACCGTGTTGATATGTAACACCTCGAATCGAGTTGAAACGTGGGGGGTGCACATAAGTGGCTTCGACAATCAGCGAACGGCAGAGAAAATCCCCCGTGGGAATCCAAGCGAGCGAATCGTAGCGGGATTGAACGCTTGAAATGGAATAATATCCAATAATCTGGCGGCTGAGAGAACGGGATAAAAAGGGACGTTTTATCGGAACATCACAGTAACCGAATGGTGCCCGACCATTTCCGTCAGGCTTCCGTTCGCCTGTCCTCCCCGTCCAACCTGGGCAAAATTAATTATCGATTTCGGATACGGGCATTCACAGCTCGAGGGCTTTTAATCGAAAACGAACCATCCGTCGCGTTCGTTTCCGTTCGAACGCGAATCGAACAACAACGCGGTCTGGAAGCTTCGCCGCTGTGCTATCGTCTCGTTCTTTTCAAAGGAAATGGAGAAAAACATACCTGTTTCGAAGATAAAACACACCTGTGAAACTCTCATTTTTATTTCTATTCATCTGCTTTCAGAGAACAGAATTTAAACAAATGTTTATTGCTCTTTGCAAAATTCTTCTGCTCCTCGCGTTAAAGAAATCTTTGGTTCTAGCGTTTTAGAACGGTGGATTTTTATTTTAATGGATTTTCATGGAGATGTATTGGAAACATGATTCTTTATTATTAAAATGAGATCTGAAAAACTGGAAGTAATTAAAGGTATTGAAACGCAACCTTGGATTGACGAAGTCGTTTCAATACGAAGCCTACACGTTGTCAATTTATCTTTTCAATGTGCTCGTTTATATAGCTCTATTTTTTTTAACCTCCATTTCTATTTGACGAAAATGTATTACCCTTGTCTATATACTTTCTTGTTAATATTCTTTGATATGTCGTTCTTTTAATAATGTTTATTAGTCCTTTGTCCTTGCGGTGTTCATTCGTAGGATCAGCTAAATAGAATAAATGAGGTCTTCACATGGCAGATTGACAGAATAATGTTTATGACGAATAATAATATTTAAAAATATATTAGAAGAAATTGTTTCTATTTGCTATAAATGGAATTTAAATTTTGATAATACATATAAGTTGACCTGCGAGTCATTCGTAGGATAAGTTCTGGTATGTCCATCTACCGGTGAACATACCGAACTAATTTTGTAAATATTGGTTCTTCAACCTGTGGCGCCATCGGTGGGAAAACGTCCAAGTTTGTAATGAAATAGTCCGTCGATGAGTAAGGGCTAACTTACAGTTAACGTAAGGTCGATAATTTAATCTTAGTGGCGCCATCTAACGTCGACGTGCCCAAGTTTGTCGTGAAGTAGTTTCTTCTTTTTGCCCGTAGATGGCGCGACTAGAAGTAATTATCGGCATGTATTATAGACGTCTAGGAATGATTTCTCAGTCACAATTAAAATATTACAATGCTTCTGGTGTAATTATAACTTGCATATTAACGTAAAAATATAATTTATTAGAAAAATAGTAATGTCGGTAATTTTGCCCTTGATACTGCCATCTAGCCGCCGCGCCTAGAAACTATTTGACGACATACTTGGGCGTTTTGCCGTTAGATGGCGCAACCAGTATCGAAATACCGACATTTATATTTCTCGAATAAACTATGTTATTACATTAATATGCAACTTATCAATTACACCAAAAGCATTGTAATATTCTAATTGTGTCTACATTATGCAATAAAGCTTTAAATAGGCTGGCTGTAGCATATACATATACTAAGACAGAACTGACATTATATAAGCTTGAATGGTTTGGCATAGCAATATATTCAAAAACAGAAAATCAGACTATCGTGTACTATGCTTGGAATAGTATAAAAGTTGGTATTTTGCAGAACAAGTATAATATAATAAAAGTTTTTAATGTCGGTAATATGTTTCTTTGTTCTGCCATCTAGCGGCAGAAAGGGGAAACTATTTTACGACAAACTTGGGCGCTTTGATGTTAGATAGCGCCACTAGGAACTGTGCGACAAGGATAGATAGCTCACGCTTATGTTCTCTCTCTCTCTCTCTCTCTCTCTCTGCAGCTAACGCGGGTTGAACCAAATGGCGCCATATACTAGTTTAGAATGGCACTGTTTCTCAACGAACTGGAGTGTTTTGATGTAGGTTTTGTTGTTTGAACTGAAAATTTAATTCCAGTAAATTAATTGATTTTTATCAGATAAGTTATACGATTATAAAGATAAAACTACTATTCATTAAATAATAAAGGAATATGTGAGCGATTCGAAATAATAACTGTCAGCACCCAATGTTCTATCTTGACAGTGGACACAAACATTAACGAGTAAATTATATATAAACTATTTATCATATAATTTATAAGGAGAATGTTATACACATTTAATATAATCTATTCGTTGCACTGATACCATACCACCAAGCTGAAATAACGGAAATAAATAGAAGAGAAGGAAGGATAGGACATTCATGCATAGGATCAATTGATTTCATTGTCAATTTTATTGAAACACTCTTTAGGGTACACAAGCTATCCTAGATAAGCATTAAGTATAAAAAAAAAAAAAAACACTGAACAACTGTTTACGGAATCACAAAGTGGATGTCTGTAATCCTTACGATCGTTAACATGCGCACTCGAAGGCACAACGATCCTCGACCCTTACGCATCGAGCATTTCACCATGATAACATTAATCACTGATGGGAACCGCCGCGCCATCTCGTCGCGATAAAACACAAGAGGAAAATGCGAGAAAATGATGCACCCAATGCCCTGTGAACAACTAGACTTGAAGAGAACCGAGAAAGAAGAATTGTGACAAAAATGCGGTAGGAAAAAACAAGAGTTACATGTGCACAAATAAAAGGTGTGGGAGAGATAGTCGTACACACTAGTTCTACAGCTCTGGATACGGGAAGCTCTACAGCTTCTCCATGGAGAAGCTCGAACGGTTCTAAAAGGGGTTCCCGTTATTACAGGAATTTTGGAATCTATGTGCAACGACTACAACGAAAGACTAGGGACTTTTAGGGGACAACGTGAACACTGGCAACACTGCAATCCGTTCTCCTGGCAAAATCTCGGCGAACCTCTGCGCACGTGATACTCGTTCTCAATTCCTGAACAATTATAACGCGCAGAGTTCCATCGTAAAGGGGACCGAGTGCCTTCTCCCTCAAATTCATTACGCAAAATAGAATGTTTATCATGAGAATCAAAAATCTACACCTTCTTAACGTTACGGGCTAGAAAACTTATGTTACAGAACTGTAAGAGCTAGTACGTCGTACGGATTAAACGTGTTCTTATCGTCAAACTGTTTCACCGACCTAATTGGTCACCCGCGGACTCCATGGCGGAGGCGGAGGTAAAATCGTCCTCCAAAATCTTGGTTGATTTTATTTCTTCTAAACGTATAAATGCACGAATCTCGCCTCGCTTAGTTCCACGAAATTCCACGCCCTCTATAAAACGGCTTTACTATTATCCACGATGGTTGTACAGGTGGCACGGGGGTCGTGTAGCGGAGGTCGCGCAGAATTTCTTCGAGCGAGAGAAGAAGGGGGGAACGTAAATTTCTCAAGTACATAAGGAGATATTGTGAAAAGCCTAGCCTAACCTAGTATACGCTTAACATGTACTTAAATAATAATCACAAAAGCGAGACCAAGGTCCAGAGCGCGTCGTGTGGCCAGGACCATTAAACGACAGGCGGTCTCGATACCTGACTTCCGATAAAAGAGTTCGTTAAGCGGTTCCCTCGCACCGTCTTGGGTGTCACAGGCCTTCGTCCACGTTCGTGGAATCGCCGGGACGGATGTAAATGCACTGATAACGGATATCTCGAGACTCCCGTTGCTGGCAAGTTTTTCAACCGACAACCACTCGCTGAATCCTCGACTGATGGGGGGAAGGGGGAAACACGCATTACATGTTTAATAGCTTAGGTTGGACGTGTAGAATCGTTGCAAGGTGATTCTAAACTAGGTTTCAACTCGCCTAAAATTGTATCAAAGTACGTATGTATATGCTGTGCACATATGGACAAAATGAGCTGTGGGACATGTAGACCCAAACGGAGGACTTACTGTAGCCAATTAGGGATCTACGAAGGCACCGTGTGAGTTATTTCAACCCATTAGTCGAGGCTCAAAATCAATTCTCGCGTAAAGATCATTTTGGTAGCATTCGCTGTAACGAGGGGAAGTACAAAAGGCACAGAGTCTCATCTTGTCTAATTTCTATCCAGCGAGTCGGGAGTGTCCCTATCCGCGTTATCTGCCAATATGGAACCGTAAAAAAAAAAAAAAATAAAGAAAACAGAGGCCTAATGTTAAATCGATACAAGACACTCCGTCGATAGAATATTATGCAACTTACGTACTTAATTAGCCCTTAATAACGTAAACAGTAAAGTGTAAAAGTATGACTTAAGTACAACCACAAAACTTGGTCATTATTATGGCATTCGTATCCTTAACTAACGCTCCTTAGTAGATTAAACTAACGGCGCGTTTTCAACGTGAATGATCTCGCTGCCTAGTAGCGTGTGCCTAGCGATTCCGTGATCCCTATGGGGCACGAGAAGCGCCTTCTGAGTCGTTCGTTCGTAATCCTCGCTTTCCCCTTCCTGAGAAGCAGTCTCGTGATCCGTAAAGTCTTCCATACGCTCACTCTTACTTTCTACGTTATCCTGTCTTTACGATCTTTTCGATATCTAAATTCGTTGAGTGTGCTCCATCCTCAGCAATGAATGGAAGCTGGATTAACACTGATCTTCGGAAACTCTGTAGCTACGAGGGTTGTTCAAACGAGATCTGTTTACTTTGACCTAATCCCTTACACCCGTAGTATTAAGGCAACTTTTCTAAGTCTTCGTAGGGGAATCCCTAGGGGACTCCAATTGTTCTCCAACACGCCTTGTGTTACGCATGTCGGTCACTTTGAGTACGAACTCTTGATTCGATAGCTACAGAGGTTTCCTTTCTTTCTAGATACAGGAATCAGAAGACCTTGTAGCTACAAAGGTAGCTTGAACAAGACTTATTTATTTTGACCAATCTCTCACAGTCATAGTATTAAGGCAATTTGCTAAGACGTTCTTCATTCTGACTAATCTCTCACATCTGTGATATCAAGGCCACTTTCTCAAGTCCTTGTAGAAGAATCCCTAAGGACTATTCTTCCAGACTCTCCTGTTACGCATCACTGTTGGTCCACTTCGTCTTCGAGTAGAAAATCTCGAGTAGCTACAGAGGTCTCCCTTCCCTGATCTGTTTCTCTCATTCTAGATGCAGTGATTCCCACTTTCAAGTCCCACTTTCAATCCTCTTTTCACCTTCATCTGTTACCTACTACCACCAGATGATCCTACCTCGTTCCCTGAAAGGGAGAACCACCGCAACTGACGTCTGCGCGACGAACGTTTCGCAAAAATTCTTTCTCTGTTCATGCAGATCATTCTAGCTCGTTCACGCTTTCGCGAGCCTCGATTCCTCGTAGAAAAATGCGACCACGGTTCGGAATGGTTCGATTCGTAGATTAAAAGCTACGCGTTCGAATGGCTGCCGCGGTTTATCGATTAAAAGGACAAGTGGTCGATTAAGTCGGCGGACACTGGTCCGTCTCCGTTGCTTGAGCTCTGGCTACGAGTTTTGATTAGTTGAAGACATCGGAGATCCATGGCGTCCCATTCGGACCGCTCTTTGCCTTCTTTCAGCCCTTCGTCGGTTCGAATCTGAAACAAAAGATGGATTTCGTTAAATCGATACTTATGGAACACCTTGTTCGATTAGCTTAGACCTGTAGGAAGAGATTCGAGGCGACAGTTGGGCCTTGATGGGCTTGACTTTGGGTTTATGGCTTCTCGATTAGCTCATATTATACTGAACAAGCTAATCTAAAGCTCGTCTAGCAGGCCATTGAAGGGCGAAACGAGGATTTCAAGTGGATTAGAGAGTAAGGTGATATTGTCTAGGAAGTGAATGGGGTAATCTTGAAGAGGGATGGTAGGAGTATGGGGGGTTAACAGAGGTAAAGTTTCAGATGTGAGCTTACAGACTCCAACTCTTGAAGATTCAAGAGATATTCACCAATCTGGCGAAAAACACTCTGTGAGAATGGTTTGAGGGTACAGCTCAAGTAACAAGTAGAAATGAAAGCCTCCAAACTCCACACGTTTAGAAGGCACGAGGCTTTAGCCTAAATGCTACGCGTATAACACGCGCTAACTCTTAAAAGCTACGAATGTGTCAATCGCACATACCTACTACGTCCTAAGGAAGAGCTCTGCCCACAAATCATCTAGCTCCCGTGTTGAGCAGCGCCAGGAGATCCATGGCAATAGGGAGAATGAAAACGCATACTTCGAAGTAGCGTGCTCGCATGATTCCTGGGCATCATCCTTGATAATCAGCTCTCGGAGCGTACCAATAATTTGACGTAATTTAATAAACGCGACCCTGGCTTCGCGTACGCGCGCCGGGTCGCGCGACTATCATTACCGACAGTTTGATCGTATCTGGCCAGTGCGTAATGACGATGCACCTAGTCACTGTGCTGCAGCACTGCTCGATCATCGGTCATGCAAATTGCCGATGCAGAACGCTTGGGCAGTCCTCGCTGTACCCATGGTTAGGTTCCCTCGCGTGGGAAACAATGCGTCGAGGTAGGCAAGCAGCGAATAATCGAATAAGAAGAGCCTGGTCGAGGATTCGCGTGGAGGTGGCGATTGGTGGAGTCGATCGACGTTTGGGTATATCAGACGATCGTATATTGGCTCGAGCGTCCAGGCGCAGTTAGTATCAGGAGACCTCCACTTCCAATTCCAATGAAAGCTGTTCGTAATTCGTGTACCGCGAAGATGAGACGCTGAGAACGCGACAGCTACGAAGTACGTGTAAATGAAATTCTATAGGCCCATCTAAATTAACTCGCGACTCTGATTACTCCAGATAGAATTCATAAGTCTCCCCAACAATTTCCCACGAATAATCGTACGGCCCGTTTCGATTAGTACCAGCAAACCTCTTACTTTTACTCCAACCGCGACGGTCGCGTTTTTAATTACATCTCGATACCTAGGATATACGTCCAGCGCGCAGAGATTAAGATCGTAAAGGATACAGGAGTTTTTGCTCATTTCACCAGCGAACTGTTACGATTTCTCGTTTTACAACGACTCAATTTCTGCCACGGACGGCGCACTTGAATTCATAATCTACCAAGCGCCATAATAAACGGCCCCTAGACATACAACCGTGCACCCGGATGAGACATCGGCGGAACAGGCGAGCGGAGAAGCGCTTTACGCTTCGTTTGAAATTCAATTGAAACATCAAGAATTTTAGTGATCCGCCGCGTTAAGCCTCTTCCTCGACTCTCCGCGCGATTGTGTAAAATAAATAATGAAGTATTGCGATTCCGGGGTAGAATTAAATCGTTATCGGGATGATTTATGGCACACGGTGGACTCTGCTCGTTCGTGGCAATTCGAGTCCATCGCGTCTCAGTCTGACGAGAGAGGGGTACCGTTTGAAAGGTGGAACGTCTTCATCAGGAATGTTTTTATCGGTTGGGCCAATTAAAATCCCTCGTTTACGATTGCCGTACCTAATACCTGTCGGCGTAATAACGTGCTTTTAATAACGACCAATCGCGCGTTCAGCATCCAGCGGCCGTGCCCCCTCGCTCCGGGGAACTGGATCGCGTTTGATACGTGCGTGTGCACGACTTTCATCTCTGCCTCGAATTTCCTGGAGCGTAGCCGCCAGAGTTCGACGCTACTCGTACAAATTGGAGAATTAACGTACGAGTGACGTACTCTGATTCATGGAATTGAACGTTAAGCGACAATTGACGGTGGTTTTAATACTATGGGATTTTATTCTTAACGGCGATTGATTCCTCGTGGAAAATGGCAACGAAAAGCTCTGTACCATTTTGCAACGCGAAGCTTGGTTCCGAAGGATATAAACAAGAAAAGTTTGCTGGTATAAATTCTGGCGCGCGTCATTTTGTATCCCCAGTCAGCTGACCACGCGCTTCCCCAACGGACGCTGCGCGACGATGAACGCGTAAAAACTTGAATTGCTTGTATCTCGGTAACGAGGGCTCTGATTGCAAAATGAAAATGGACTTTTTGATTTATATTGGCACGAGGATCCTGATGGAGAGCTGCACATTTTTCTTAGTATTTTGTTATTATTTATGGACGTATGAAAGGATGAAATAAAACATATCTCCGCAACCACGATGTCGATCCTAAATACGCTTCTATCCTATCACTAACCCAACCCAGAAATTAAACAATTACAGCCTCTTCAATCTCAATTTTCGATTAGCAATTGATACAGCAGATAAGGGCCGCGTTCAATTCCACACAACAAACCCGATGGTAAATACAACTTCGATATAAAAAAAATACACAAGGCCAGCAGCTTTTCAATCTCGACGTTTGATCTTTAATTGCCGTAACCTTAAACAGATTCAGCTGTCGAATGTTTCAACGAGGAATACCGTCGACAAATTGAATCGATAAATCTCGTCGCGAGAAACCATCATCGATCCGATCCAAACGTATGATTCTCCCCATCGTCGAAACAAGGAGAAAGAGGGAGTTAATAGAGCTATGCCGCGTCTACGTTCGCGTTAGTTTTACTCGTTCTTTAAAAAACGAGGAACCGAGACAAAGGACGCGGTCTCGAGGTCGACTTTGGCAACGGCAATCGAACGCATCGATAAATCTCGAGGCGACCATCGACGAAGCGATACCGCCCCAACGCAGAACGTTGTCGCTGCTCGTGGTGCATATTTGCGAATTATTTATCACCAGCCCGCACGTGGCAATTACGTTGATAGCGACGAAATAACTCATTCGACGATCACTCCGCGAAATTCGCGAGGCTTCGTTGCATTATTGCCCCCTTTCGCTGCGTAACAAAATGATGAAACACGGCTGAGAAAATGATCATTTTCTTCGTCATAAAAATTAGTTGTCGCTGGTACAAATATGATTTACGTAATGGTTCTGTCCCGTCTAGTGTATCTTTAAGGGTTGACGGATTAACGTTACACTGTTGGTAATAATATCTTGCGTTTTCTTGTATCTTTATGGATGATAAAGACGTTGCAGTAGTTGGCGCCAACTTTCCTGTTATCGTTGACGCCGAAAGAACTGGAATATGTTCTCAGCGACGAGGAAAAGCGACAATCGCGCTGTCTTCAGGATGTTTTCGTCGAGAGCGAAAAAGGTCTGGCATTTTTAGCGAGGCCACGCGTTCCTTTTCGTTAGCGACGACAAAAGGCCAGGAGGACGTCGTGCGAACGGCGTCGGTGCATATGTTCCGCCATACGTCGGAACAAAAACCCTTCTGGTGGTGTTCCGTCACTCGTATTCGCACAATGGGCGTGCATACGTTTATTTTTTTCGGAGACAATGTTACCGCCAGACCCGTCGCACTTTTTCGCCGCGTCATCGGTCAGGGGAATACCCTCCTGCGGCAACGATAAACTTAAATGCTAGGTTCTCCATGAGCAGCAAAAAATCGGCATCAATTTTATTTAGGATAAGTAAGGGTCTATGGAAAATTTTGTACAAATAACCATTGCATGGTTCTGTATTATTATTCGTTGCAAATCCATAAAATCTCCAGTCCACACGTAAACGCGGCTCGTTTAATTTCACGCTGAAGAAACGATGCACCGAATATCGAAGAAGCGCGAGTCCTACGCCAGTGCAGGGAGAGACAGACCGACGAGGAGGAACAAAGCGTCCCACACGCTCCGGGTATCATCATAGTCATATTCATACGGGAACGTAAGGGCATCCCAGGACTGGGACAATAGCGAGAGCCATATTTTTACGATGGCCGATTGCGACGCGCGCGTGCACCTTTGCGGCCACGCGACGGCATTAACAGCCAATAAAGGACTTCCTTTATGAAGCCTGGTATACCTCCTGACAGCTCTAGAAACCGAAATGGGTCACTAAAACACTTGACGGCGTCTAGACTGTACCGAGAACCTGGCAGCGCGAGTCCTCTCAAACTTTGAGGATAAAAAGTTGCGAGTCACTTCACAGGGGTTCTCATCGACACTCCAACTCGTTTAAATTAGAAGATTTACTAACAACAGCAGATTTAATAAAGCAGCTGCTGCAAACGTTATGGACTTGGTGTTAATTTATTTACCCGTTAGGAAAACTATCCTTTCATCGACTAGTGGAAGTTCGGGGAACTCCATAAACCCAGACTGGACAGCAGTCCCGAAGAAAAGGCGACCAGTGGACTCTACACGTCGCGCCCGGTTCTATTCCTCACGGCGAGGAATATCATTTCAAGAACGATTCGCAGTTCAACGACCGATCGTTTGCGAACCCCTTCAAGCCTGGCAGCCAGTCGGACGTCATATCTTAGCCACGATCGTCTCGGAGGAAACACTTCGCTTCGGGATTCGTTATTCTCGCTCTCTGCTGAACGCGATTCTTCGCAACTCCAATAATTTCGAGAAACGAATTGTCAGGAATCGCGGTGGTTCGCGCAGAGTTTGTTCTTGTTAATTTCTTCTTGTTAGGAGCACCGAGGTTTCGGTGCACGCGTACTTTTCGCGAAGGCTGTTACAGCGAGCTGGGCATTCGTGTCCAGGGGTCAGTAACCCGGGACCCCTTTTCGCCGGGGCCAGGATTCGCCAAGGGGGCCCCCGAGCTGAGCCAAACTTTCGGTAACGAACCCATTGTTA